GGATGGTGCAACGGTGAAAACTGGGGATGAGCATTGGCTGCCCCGGTTATGGTTGTGCCAACCGGTAACACCGTGTGTTACAATTTGAGGTTATCACTTTAGAGTGAATGAGATTTGGAGTGCCCTTGTTGAAAGTGCGGTCATATGTGTGGCGCATTGCTCACAACATTCTTTCTATTTGTTGGAGAATTTTACACCGAGGTATAAAAACTAATCAGGTATATCAAATATGTGGTCGTTGTAATGAGGATGGAGTCCACCTTTTCCTCGGGTGCAAGGAACTAAAGAAGCTTCTAAACCACCATGAACCAGATGGCATATGAGAATCACCCCCTCCTAACTCTGGATACACCAAAAAGAATTATGAGCATAGCGTTGCTTTGAGGTTGGTGGTCATAAGGGACAAGGCGAACTCGTCGCAGAGACACCCTAAAAATTAATGATGTGTTCTACATGATTCGTCGGCCATTTTTAACTTTTAAAAGGGATTTCTAGGTCCTAGCAGTTGAAGCAAATAGAACTCAATACTTGTTTAGTTTCTTCGGACGCCCCACTCTACATTTCTTGGTGGAAAAAGCTTTTTCAAACCAGCTTCGTGACCCTTCTCTTCTCAACCCTTAAAAATGAACCTACAATTGACTCACATAGAAAATAATACCATGATCAACACCCCCCAACCTCAGCCCCCAGAAAAAACATGGCAGGGCCGCTAGAAAGCTATGAAAAAATTCAAAAAGTATGTGTTCACATGTATGTTTACACTCCCATAAAATTTTGAATTTAAATTTGATCTACACATAGCAGAGAAACAAAAAATACAAACGCCAACTATGAATAGGGTGTGAAATTTTGTCTTCTGTCTTTTTTTAGACTATTCATACCGTATCAACTAGAGCATCATCTTCTTCTGCAATCTTGGGGAAAGCGTGATGAGCAATCTCAAAAAAATTACAAAATATCTCAGGGCCAAACACGGTTGCCGGCGATGAGAGTAGTGTGCTAGTGGCGAACCAAGTCGGTTGGTCCATTTAAACCCACCATGATATTTGCCCAACCTAACGATGGTTGAGCCATCACCGTTGTGAGTCTTCAGTGTGTCCTTGATTCCTATGCTTCTCCAAAATGTCAAATGAAGTGGATGTGGCGAGAAAGCAATATGTCATCATTTTGGTAATCACCTTAGTTCGAGTGAGATTTGGGGCGCCCCTGTCCGGCGAAAGTGCTGACATATCCATGGTGCATCGCTCACAACATCCTTCCTATGTATTGGAGCATTTTATGCCGAGGTATGCAAATTAATCTGATATGTCTAATACCTGGTATTTTCAACGAGGATGGAGTCCACCTTTCCCTAGGCGTAAGGAAGTAAATCTGTTAAGATACTAAGCTTCCTACATTTGGAGCCTCCTGATGTGTCGGGGGCTGTGAGGCTGCTGGGGGCCGCTTGTAAGGGTGTGTGTTGTCGGTTGAGGTTTCTGTTTGTTTCTTCTTTTTCTAATTTTATTCTTTTTCTTTTTTTGGCTTTTCTTCTCTTTTAAATCTTAATTTACATATTGCTTCAAGTCATGAATATCAATTAAAATCTCTAAACATTTTTTTAATCTGATTTTCTAAAAAAAATCCTCAAACATTTCATTAACGTTTTTAAAGCTCACAAACACATTTTAAGTTTTTGAACTTTATGTAATTTTTTGAATATTTTAAATATCAATGAACATTTTTTGAAATCTAGAACATTCTTTAAAAAACATGGTTTTTAAAATTTGTAACGTTTTAAAAATCCAAGAGTTTTTAAAATCCATGAACATATTTTTAGTTAACGATCTTAAAAAAAGATAGCCGGCTTTTTACAAGATAGCAGCAGAACGAGCGAGTGGGGCAGGGAGATGAGCTGAGCAAGCGGGAGCTTCGGAGGTCGGCTCATGTGAACATTATAGTAGCAGTTCCACGATTTTAACGTGAATAGGAGCTCACATGGCGGAATTACCTTTCTAATCTTGAGCTCAAATGTTCCTGGTGTGAACAGTAAAATCAGAAAAAATAAAAAAATATTGATTTTTTTTGTGACAAACTTTAAGAAATGTTTGAAGTGAATACAAAGTTTTATCACGGCATCACATTGGAGGAAGTCGTGGCAAAAAAAAAAATCAAAGCCCCAAAATGTGTTTGAAAGTAACATTTTCAGAGCATTGATTTTGTTTTTGTATCACGCCTCCACCAATGTGATTTCGTGATGAATTTATGCATGCACTCCAAACATTCCTTCAAGTTTGCCCAAAAAAATCAGTATTTTTTAAATTTGTTGTTCATCTACGAGCATTTGATCTCAAGATCAGAAACTCTGCATCCCTCACAAGGGTGTGAGGGGCTCACACAACAACCACCGGCTAACCCCGAGGCTGAAATGTGTAAGTACACCACGACCGCACACCGAACAACTCCACCCTCATGTCAACACAAATACCGCATCCTAGCACAATATACGAACGAAAAAACTAGAACATAATTAAAACCCAGATAAAACTAAAACGAAACAACTAACCTTCTAGGGAAAAAAGACAATCCCATGAGTGAAGAACAGTGTGGCGTAGCATGCATTAGCCTCTCATGAGCTTTGAATCACCTTGAACTAGATGACATATGAGAACGACTAGAGTGTCCAAATCCAAAAGGCAAGTTCCATTCTCCCCTAGCCCTAGATACACCGGATTTTTTATAGGCACAACATTGTTTTGAGACTGGTGGTCATAAGGGACAGTGTGAACTTAGTCGAAAGCCCCGCGAAAGTTGATGATGTGGTGTACATGATCCACATGCACATGACCCAGATTTTAGTTCCTGGTAGCTGAAGCAAGAAGGAACTCCACACTTGTTTAGTTTCTCCGGGCAGCCCCCTCTACATTTCTTGTTGGTGGAAAAGAAACTTTTCTCAAACTAGCTTCCTGAGCTTCCCTTGTCAACTCCAAACAAGAGAGCCCTCCGCGTCGCCTCGATAGGCGACTCAGGGGAAACTAGGGTTTGCCTGCAGCCTCCACCTTTCCACCCTCCTCCCTCATTTGCCTCCACCCGAGACAACCAGTAGGCAAACCCGTGCGGGCGCCGGTGATGGTGATAA